CTCTTTTTCAAAAGTTTCAGATTACTCTATAAACTGGTTAAAATCCACAGTTCTACCAATTAATTTCTCATTTGTCAATTTGCTTAATACACAATTGGAGTCAGGGAATATCACATACCTGGGAATTAATGTCTCTCCCAAGTTAGCAGATCTAACCAAACTAAACTACATCCCACTTTTAAAGAAAGTGGAAGATGATCTTGCAAGATGGAAATCCTTACCAATATCACTCATGGGGAGAGTTGCTACAATTAAAATGATGGTCTTACCCAGAATAAATTACTTATTCTCGATGATCCCAAACAAACCACCAGCTGACTGGTTTAGATCTCTGGACTCCTCAATCACTAAATTCCTTTAGCAGGATAAACCTCCACGAATTAGCTTAAAAACGCTTCAGAAGACCAAAGACAGAGGAGGACTGGATCTACCCAACTTTTATTATTATTTCTTAGCCAACAGGCTGCAATATATACCAAGATGGTTGCAAGATAACCCACTAGATGAGTCTTGGTTAGACATAGAACAGACACTTTGCAATACGATAGAGCTTTCAGACTTACCATTTATTAGCTCAAATATAAGGAAACATGAAGGCTTCAAAATTATTAGTATCAGCACCTCTCTGACAGCATGGTGGGAGTATCTTAAAATGACAGAGTCTTCACTAGTACCATGCAGATGCACACCTATCTGGAATAATCCTGATATTTTGCAAAATAAAAAATGATGAACCTTCCGGACTGGAAAAATAAAGGAATCCTATACCTGGAACACATATATGAAGGATTGGACTTCATACCATTTAATAGAATAGTCTCCCAATTTGGAATAGATAAGAATAGCTTTTTAGAATATCACCAAATTAAATCTGTAGTCAAACAAAAACTTTCAGCTCAATAAAATAGAATTACAAACACCACCAAGGGTATTAGACTTCTATAATCTCAAACCCCCAAACTACTGTCTAAAGTATATAGGACACTGTCCAAAATAGACGATAGAATAGCAATCCCTGTTGAAAAATGGAAGGTGGATCTATCAGTCAGCTTTGACCAGAACTTCTGGTCCCAAACTTGTTTAAAAACTTTTAAAATGATCAGACACCCCAATTTACGATTAATTCAGTACAAAATTCTACACAGAGTACACTATACAGGTCATCGGATGTTCAAGATGGAGTTTGTGTCGTCTGACACCTGTACATACTGCACAAACAACATTCCTGACAATTATATTCATGCACTGTGGTCCTGTCCACCTGTCCAGGAATTTTGGGGTAGAGTATGTGAAGACCTGTCAAAGTCTCTGAAATGTCATATCCCAACTTCCCCCTCTCTTTGTTTACTGGGAAACCTGGATGATGTCCCGATTGAAACATCTTCGGCACACGTGGTTCTGACTGCCATATGCATCGCTAAGAAAACTATCCTCTTGAATTGGAAAAATAGAGAAACTCTTTGCATCGACCAGTATAGAAATCTTTTGTTAGATCATATTACACTTGATTTAGCCTCTGCTTCCACTTCAAATCAATCTCTCTGGGCTCCTTTGATCAGTTCCATCACATAGCGATGACAGGGGACCATTGATGTTGTCCTGCGGGATGATGTGTGTGAGGGGGTGGAGGGTCTGAGTTTGGAGTATCCGGACATTCCCTGGAGGTGGGTTCACTGGGGGTGTCTGGGACTGAGGGGCTGTTGCCCCCCTCTGGAGGTGCTTGGGTTGCCTTGGGGGGTGGTTTTGGCGGTTGTGAGTGGGGCCCCATGGAGGTCTTGGCAGTGGCCATGGGTCACTGCCCGGCAGCTGAGATGTAACTCAGTGAAATCCCCCTGAATCAGTGCTTTGACCAAAACAGTTTGGATTAGGGATTCACTGGCAATGCACGGGCCACCGCATGTTAGGGTTAATGTTAATGTATGCAGCTCTAACTGTGGCAGAGCTGAGGTCAAAGGCCTTGTCCGTGGACTGGAAACTGTAGTTTGAGCTAAACAATGTCTTCTGTAGAATGGTGTTGCCCTTTCGTCGAGATGGAACAGTAAGGTCATCACAGACCCAGACTCTCTTTCTTCAGCTCAAATGTCCTCGAGCCTGTCAGAGCAAAAGATGTGTGTGTCAACAACTTTGATGATGTTACAGCAACAGCCATGAAACCAGACGGGAGATTTGGGGTACTGGATCTTGACATCGTTGGAGGCTGGTCACAGCGTTGTGTGAACGGACCCAGGAGGGGTCTCAAACACCAGATGTTGTTTCCGTTGTTCCTCCCAACTGCTGCTATTTCCTCTTGTTCCATCAGATGCTGAGGGGTGGTTTCAGGGCAAAGTGCGATCCCCAACCATCAGCAGTGACATGGTGGATGGGCCCTGCAAGCTTAAGGCAGATCGTTTACTTATCTGCCGTCCTCGGCGAGCCCGCATGCGTTCCATCAGATAATGGTCAGTCGTAGTGGCCCTCTCAGCAGTATGCAGCAGTGGGAGGATAAGATGAGTGACCTTGATGCCTCAACTTGGTAGTATCACGTGCAACAGGACCCCAAACTCCTTGGTTCCACGGTCTGCGGTGAAAAAGCACAAAAGGGTCTGCAAGTTCACTGTAGCTTTTTGACATCTTCAGCAACAACCATTCAATATACAGTCCAGTTTGGACCCCAAATGGGGCCAAAATTCACCTGAAATTTACCATCGCAGTCCACTCAGTATCATCCTAAGCTGGAATCAACCCATATAATTATCAGCAAACTATACCGAAGTACATTCATCAATTCATGTTCCAGGTTGTATTAAACTACCCTACACCAGTAGTTTACGTAACCCAATAACTGGTTGATAAGACTCATTTAACAAGAAGTTTTTAGGTTTATGAAAAAACCAAACACCATTCTGTAAAAACAGCAAGTCAAATTATTATGGCCAGATATCTCAACTTGGCAAAGAGTCTGCTCATGACAAGAGTCCAAGAAACAAAAACAAAATCTCAAATCAGGATGTGCTTAATAGTTTACGGATCAGGCGACTTAAAGTAAAAACAAATCATTTAAACAACAGTTACAGTAAAAGAAAAGATGAGAATACATCAATCCAGGAGTTAGAAAACCAAAACTGAATAAACTCAAACAACAGTAACTAATCATAACACAAAATCATTAGATTTGAAAAGACTGTTTCAGCAAAAGAAAAGAACAGAGCTTTAACAATTAACCCTAAGAAATCTATGTATAACAGGCTAAAACCACTGCATTTGCTTCAGGGTGAACCAAGCCCAAAATAACAAAGAAAAACCTAGCTCTCAATAACCCTTGAAGTACCATGTATCTGCCTGGCTTATTCAAAACAAGCAAAAGGTTAAACAGAAATGGCAGCTCACCCTTACTGTAGCAGTATTAAAACACAAGTTACACTAAGCAAAACATCCTTAATTAGAAGTTAGTTAAGGACATTAACGGTTAAATATAAAACCAAAACAACAAGGAAATCATTAAATCACTAAACAATAGTCACTATAAAAAGAAACGTCTTTCGTGCGAGAATGGCAAATACTCCACAAGCATGAAACACACTGTCAACCGATTGATAGAAAAAGGGTGCAATTAAATCAGGTACCCACTCTCCCTCTGCGTGGCATCCTGAGTCCAGTAAGCGAGAGCCGTAGGCGGAAGATCGCCTGCGGAGCTAAACAGCTCTCTGGAGGCAATCTCCCACTGAAAAGCTCTGCTTTCCCCGTACGGGCCACCAAAATGTTGGGTAATTTCTAATATTGTTCTTATATTACCTCAAAGAAAGTCAGAACACACACAGAGGGATAAGATTCATAATTTGGTAAATTGTAAACAACCTTTAAAAAGACAACAAACTCTGCCAAGTGTGACACTTTGCAGAGGGTGAGCGAATCAAACATCAGACACGACGGCCATTTCCTCTCACACCGAGCCAAACCTTGTGAAGAGCTTTTATTGAACATACACACACCCACAAATTCCACAAACACCCTCTTTGGCCTCAGAAAACAAATAGCGTGAAACTCCCCGTCTGACTAGTTTGGCTTCAACTAATGGAACAAAACACCTCGAGCAGAAAGGAGTTACTGAAAACAGTCAGACGTATTTGGGTCAGTGCTTTTCCCAAAAACAGCTAAACATATTTGATGAGGGGAACTCTGCTTGATATTGAGCTTTTATCCAACATTAAACACTTCCACCACTTCACACACTTAGGGCCTTGGGAGTGAGCACATTCAATGGCAGATGGCAGGGGGGTTTCTCAGCCTCATCCCAAGTGCCGGTGCCCACTTCTAATTTTAAACTGCACTTAAGACACTGAGGGCTGTGGGTGAAAGTGGGGTGTTGTGGTGGCATCAGCTGGCATAGGCCAGATGATGCCACCACTGTCCGCTCACCACAGCCATGGAATACACCTCATCAACACTCACTAACACCATATTTGAGCAGGCAGAGGGAGACTAGGGGTCTTAGCACACTGTTGTCGCTTGGCTTCCTGGGGCTGGAGGCTAGGAGGGAGATCCGGCCGTCTGGTTGGGGTCGGGGGTGGTGGGTTGCTGTGCTCAGCGTTGGGCGGGGCAGCCTGCTCATCAGCACCCCAGCAGAAAGGGTCGAACTCTGGGAACCAGTACTGGTTGTACACCATGTGCAGCAGTACCGGGACCAGAGTTAATAGGGTGTGTATGGGGAGCATGAGTGGGTGTCTGGCATGCCTTTTTGTAAGTCTTTGGTTGTATGTGTGTGTGTGAGCATGAGGGAGGGAGTGTCTGACTGTGTTTGTGTATGACTGTATATGTCAGGTGGGGCCTTTGACTCCTCCCCTCTCCTGGGACATCTTTTCTTTTGATCTGATTGGCTTAATGAACTGACCTGTATTGGAATGTTTATCATGTGAAGGGCCTTGAGACGACTCTTGTCGTGATTTGGCGCTTTAGAAATAAACTTGACTTGTGTGAATATAAAGTTACAGCGCTTAGTAATTCACATAATGTGTTTCCAACAGATGTTCAACCGATGGTGCTGGTTAAAGAAGCTCCTGAAGAACAGAGTGCTAGTGAGGACCAGCAGGACCCAGAACACTTCCACATAAAGGAGGAACAGGACGAACTTAGGACCAATCAGGAGACTGATGCTGCCAGGTTTCCATTCACTGTAGATACTATAAAGAGTGAGGATGATGAAGAGAAACCTCTGTTCTCACAGCTTCATCAGCAGCAATTGGAGGACAGAGATGTTCCAACCAGCAGCTCAGCTGACCTGAAGACAGCAGAAACTAGAAAGTACTCAAATCTTTTCCCTCATGAACAGACATCTGATTCTTCAGAGACGGAAGTTAGTAGAGATGATGAAGAGGATGATGAAGTGAACATAGACTCTGAGCTGTCTGACACTGGAGACAGAGTCAATGACTGCAACAAGAGCAGGTCTTCTGAGTCAGATGTTAAGTCTGTCAACAAATCCTTTAGCTGCCCTGAGTGTGATAAACTATTTCTCCACAAGAGTTCTCTCCAGAAACACGTCGGGAAAGGACTAAAATCATATTGTTGTGATGACTGTGGAAAAAGATTTCGGGGAATATCAGGTTTAAACAGTCACATGAGAGTCCACACCGGAGATAAGCCTTTTGCCTGTGAACTCTGTGAACAAAGATTTAGTCATAAGGCACATTTAAACAGGCACATGAGAGTCCACACCGGAGAGAAGCCTTTTGCTTGTGAACTCTGTGGACAAAGATTTAACCAAAAGGCACATTTAAACAGTCACATGAGAGTCCACACCGGAGAGAAGCCTTTTGATTGTGGGCTCTGTGAACAAAGATTTAATCAAAAGGCACATTTAAACAGTCACATGAGAGTCCACACCGGAGAGAAGCCTTTTGCTTGTGGGCTCTGTGAACAAAGATTTAATCGAAAGACTCACTTAAGCAGTCACATGACAGTCCACACCGGAGAGAAGCCTTTTGCTTGTGGGCTCTGTGAACAAACATTTAATCGAAAGACTAATTTAAACAGACACATGAGAGTCCACACAGGACAGAAGCCTTTTGCTTGTGAGCTTTGTGAACAAAGATTTAGCCAAAAGGCACTTTTAAACAGTCACATGACAGTCCATACAGGTCAGAAGCTTTATGTCTGTGAACTCTGTGAACAGAGTTTTAGCAGTAAGGCAAGTTTAAACAGGCACATGAGAGTCCACACCGGAGAGAAGCCTTTTGCTTGTGAGCTCTGTGGACAAAAATTTAGTCATAAGGCAAATTTAAAGAGACATGTGACAGTTCACAAAGAACAGAAGCTTTTTGCTTGTGAGCTCTGTGGAAAAAGATTTAGCCAAAATTCAAGTTTAAACCGTCATATGAGAATCCACACAGGGCAGAAACCTTTTGCCTGTGAAGTCTGTGGACAAAGATTTAGTTGTAAGGCAAATTTAAACAGTCACTTGAGAGTCCACACAGGGCAGAAACCTTTTGCTTGTGAGCTCTGTGGACAAAGATTTAGCCATAAGACAAGTTTAAACATTCATATGAGAATCCACACAGGACAAAAGCCTTTTGCTTGTGAGCGATGTGGACAAAGATTTATCCATAAGACAAATTTAAACAGTCATATGAGAGTCCACACAGGACAAAAGCCTTTTGCCTGTGAACTCTGTGAACAAAGATTTAGCCAAAAAACAAATTTAAATAGTCACATGAGAGTCCACACAGGACAAAAGCCTTTTGCCTGTGAACTCTGTGAACAAAGATTTAGCCAAAAAACAAATTTAAATAGTCACATGAGTGTCCACACAGGACAGAAGCCTTTTGCCTGTGAACTTTGTGGACAAAAATTTGGTTTTAAAACCAATCTAAACCGTCATGTTAGAGTCCACACAGGAAATAATAATTTTGACTGTTAGCTACGTAAAGATTTAGCTGAAAAATAATTTGAAACCATCCCATTAAGGTAGTTTGCCAGGAACACTACTCAGAATAACTCGGGCGGATGCAGCTCGGCCCGACCACTGTTCCTAAGGGCACGGTTCAGTATTTTCTCTCTACTTTCTACCTTATTTTTAGTCCCTTCTCCGTTGAGGTACTTAGCAAGACTGAGTCAGGCCGACATTGTGATTCTGGCCACTGATTGGCTAGGGGGTGAAGTCACTAGTTGCTCCGGAGTTTTTTGCCTTCTGTTTCGCTGCCTGCAGCCATTTTTTGGTTCAGAATCTGACAAATAGCCATTAAACTGAGCAAAATGTCCAGCAACACCATCGTTTTTCTGCTGAGTTGTGTTTCTGTGGAGCATGCAAGTTACCTTACACTAATCAGGGGAACCATGCTCTCAGAGGCAATGATCACATATTCAGTCTTTTCAGAGTTTAACTGGAGGAAGTTCTCTTGTAGCCAGGTGGTGATAGCTGATAGACACTCTAGTAATTCAGTTTATAGAAGTCAGATTCCATAAAGCAGCAGTACAGCTGAATATCATCTGCATATAGGTGATGAGAGACATTACGAAAAGAATCAATTATCTGTCCAAGAAGGTGTATGTACAGTAGAAACAACAGTGGACTCAGTGGTTTCCTTTAAAAAGCAGCTGAATACTGACTCGTTCAAGCTGGCTTTTGCGTGACCTTTGTCACCCTCTCCTTTTTCTGCCTTTCCCCGTGATCCACTGATTTCCCTCTTTCCCATTCATTTCTCTCTCCCTTTCCTTACATTATTATTTTTTATCACAATTTCTATATTTTTTCCTCTAAATTTTAACATTTTTTTTCTTTTTTATTTCATTCAAAATAAAAACAAACAACATAAACAATAAGAAATGCACAACAAAAATCAAATTTGAATGAAAAGGAGCAGAATGAAGAAAAACATCTTATAATTTCTGCCCCCTTTTCCAGTAGAAATAATCAATTTATATATAATTACCATTTGTCAGACACACACACAGATTCATTTTAAACTTTTTCCTGTTCTTAATTCCAGAGCGATCATGATCATTGATTTAATTTACATTTTCATAATTATTTAGTACACTCAATTTGGTACATTTTTTGAATATATTAAATGACAGAGTTTTTTTAATTTCCCTTTTAAGGTTATTCCATAATTTAACACCATTTACAGATATATTCCATTCCTTAATTTTAGTTCTAAATCTAGGTTTTGTAAACACATCAGTTTCTTTCAGCATGTAATTACTAGTTCTCAAATATCCCCTGATTGTTTGTTGGCAGAGTACCTAAATTAGCTTTATACATGGTTTGTAAGATTTTCCAGTCTTTTAAATTTGTTTTATTAAGATTCAGTGTCAATCTATTTATATCAAACCAGTTTTTAATTTTAATCAGTTCATCATTTATCACTTTAGCCACCTCCTCAATATTTGATCCTGAGTAAAACAGTGTTGTATCACATGGACGTCACTAGGATTGAGATATGGGGGGGCTTAGCCCCAGGAGCTTGACCTTGAACATTTTTTTCACACCCTGCAAAAACTTTGTCAATTAATTCATTATCTGAAGAACATTTAACAAAACCTATTATTCTGTCACTTTCTTTTCCTTTCCTACCTTTGTGCATTTTCTCTCTTCTTTTTATAAAAAAAATAACACTTAATCCGTTCATTAGTGGGGTCTATGTTGAAGAAAGATTTTATATAAGTCCATTAAAAATTAGATATGTTACATTTCCAAATAAAGCTATTCATTTCAATCTACTGCACTTAACATGGGGAAATGTTGCAGTCATTTGTTTAATTACAACTTGCTTAATTATAAATGTTACTGAAATATGACAAAGAACAAATGAATAATTGTCAAACTTTTATTCTGCCAAATGAGTGTGCAGTTGACAGTTTTAATATATGAATAACACTGCTATGATGTGGAATAAAGGAGTATGTAATTAGCAATTACAAGACAAAATAACAGTATATATAAAAATTAGGGCTGGGACTTGATTAAAATTTTTAATCTAATTAATTAGAGGCTTTGTAATTAATTAATCTAAATTAATCACATTTTAATCGTTCAGGAAAATGTGCTCTCAAAGCAAAACTTAATTAAAATTATGAGACAGAGAATTAAACATTAGACATAGTTATTACTGTAAAACTAAAGCTTTTAATAAAAAATGCATTTTAATTAATCAAATGTCACTGTGTGATATGAAACAAAACCCAAATCAACTAAAATTTATAATTACAAATAGAAAACACCTGCAAAGGGTTCCTGAGCCTTTAAATAGTCTCTCTGCCTAGTTGAATGACTGAAATAAATTTGACTTTGCACCAGATTCTAATTTTTCCAGTTTCACTTGTTTGTATAATTGGGAGTTTTTATTAGCATTTCTACTCATAATGTAGTAAAAACACATAAATAATAATCCTTCAAAATGACAGTAGAACAGGCAAAAATATGACCTAGAACTTAAATGTACTAACTTTTAACACCAGAGCAGGCGTGGCATATTCTGAGAATGATCAGGAACACTAACTGGTTCCAGTTGGATGACTGGAGGATGATGGGAAGATAAAAGATCATGGCGAGGAAATAATGATCTGACGAACAGGTGAGCGGACCTACATGGGAAGTCCTGATGTCACATTAAGAAGGGGATGCTGCAGACCCGCAGATTCACGCCTGCAGCAGCGAATCTGGTGTGATCTCCAGCCTGATCACAACTTTCTCGTTCCTCGCTGCCCCTGATACACTTAAGCATCCGCCCCTTAGCTGATGACAGCTTCAACACACCTGCTGCTTAATGATAGTAATGCATGTGATGATGTTAGACAGAGACTCGTCTCAGAAACGTATAACTCCCCGACAGAATTGTTTAGAAAATCATCAGAAAAGTTTCAGAGTGTTTCTGTTTTAACTTAAACTTCTGTTTTCAACTTTAAGACACATTGTTTGTGATTGTTTACAGAGTAGTGAGAACACGGAGCGTTCTCCCAGCGGCAGCCAGGTGCCTCTCGTTTGTCTGACTACTTTCATAAACTACTGTTCGGGCACAGAATTATTCTGTCTGGTGCTTTCAGCGCTGCACAGATGTTACGTAAATGTTAAAAATATAGCTTACCGCAACTTTTGTAAAGTTTCCTGTGCCACCGGGCGGGCAGCTGCAGCAGAGACGATCTCTGAAAAATGTCTGCGACACGGACTCCGTTGTTGTCTGGAAGTTTTGTTTTTTTTTTCAAGTTAAGAAAAGAGGCGGACGGGTTTCCTAAATCCTGCATCAGTCCAAGCAAGGCAACTTCTTTCCGTTTTTATTCCGTTAGTAGCCATTAGCGCTGTGCATTGTTGTGTGCGTCAGTGATATTCAGTCTACGAGGAAGTCGTGCAATGACAAAGCCCCCCTAAAACGGACCTAACGACGTCAGCGTTGTATCATCTGCAAATAGAATGGTACCGAGTGTCTTGGATACATTTACCAAGTCGTTAATAAACAAAATGAACTGTTTTGGTCCGAGGACCGACCCTTGTGGCACTCCACAATTAAATTCACATCATTTTGATTAATGGTCCTTTATCTGAACAAACTTTCATTTTTTCTAAATAAGTTTGAACCCATTGATGAGCCACACCTCTTATTCCATACTGACTTAATTTTCGAAGTAACCTTGAGTGATCAATGACGTCAAAAGCTTTTTTCAAATCAATGAAAACACTAACAAAGTCATTTTTATTGTCAATTGCTGTTGATATTTTTTCCGTTAATTCCATTATTTCCATTGCTGTGGAATGTTTAGTTCTAAACCCGTATTGTTCATTTTTAAAATATTATTTTTTTCGATAAATTTATCCAACCTTGATACAAATACTTTTTCCAATATTTTAGAAAACTCTGGAAACAGTGACACCGGCCTGTAATTGTTGAAACTATGTTTATCACCACTCTTATACTAAGGAAGGACTTTCGCTGTTTTCATTGCATCAGGAAAATTTCCAGTAGAAAGTGATCGATTACAAATGTAAGTGAATGGTTCAATGACAGATTCTATGATGGTTTTAACAGTTATCATGTCCAGGTCCTGATAATCGGTTGATCGTTTGTTTCCACAGTTTTTTTTACAATGTTTCGTATCTCTTCTTTATCTACTTTGTCAAGGACAATACTATTGACAGTACTAATCAATGTGGTCAATTTATCTTCTATTATTGGTTTGTTCTCCATCAAACTCCTACCTACATTTACAAAAGAAAATAATTAAACTCATCAGTGATTTCTTTATCGTCATAAATATCTTTTTTGTCCTTGACAAAGTTATTTGGAATACTGGATTTTGTTTTCTCTCTATTAGTCACTGTTTATTATTCCCCGAGTAGCGTTTGTGTTATTTTATTAAATCAAATGAAAATGGCAGACGAAGATACAGCCACAACAGTTGGTAGTTTGTTTTTAACAGAAAATCATGTAGTACTTAAGCAACTACTTTGATGTTTTTGTAACCTCTCAAATAACCGTTAGACAGGCATGAAGCTCCTGAATGTGTCAGTGTTGAACTGATAGCAGAGGGCGCTGAATGTTCATGTGTAGTCTGTGGAAATCGGACCAAAATAATCCAAAAGTTGGCCTAATTGGAGAGTGAATAGGTCCTGGCTTAGTCCTGGTTCCTCTGGGTTTGGGATGGCAGCAGTCCTCTCATGTTGGATTTAATGTTCATTTGAGGGGCAGTCCTTTCGTTTCAGTCGTTGGTTTGGACCACCGTTCCGGTCAGGTGCATTTTGGAGCCATTTTGTAATTCTGTTTCTATATCTTTGTCCGTTGCACTTGAAGTAACCCGATTACGCCGCACAGCCTCTGGAATAACGTCATAAGTTGAATTAAATGTCCGTTTCATGAGCTGAAATCTAGAACAGTCTTCCAGAAGGTATAAGACAGGCATCAACACTGACAATGTTCAAATTCAGGCTGAAAACAGCCATTTTCAACTGTGCATGTGATACTGTAGGTATTTTATCTGCACTCTTTGCTTTTTGTGTAAGTATATATTTGATTTATGAAGTTGTTTTATTTCCATTTTTACAGTTTTATGCAACTGTAAAGGATTTTGAATTGCCTTGTGAATAAATTGTACTCTACAAAAAAGCTTGTTCTGCCTTAAGTGATGATTAAATCCACCAATGGCTATCTTGACGTTTATCCCACCATTAGCCAAACAGCAGAGGCTTGTGCAAAGGGGGTTCATTTACATGTTTGCTCTACAAATAAACTTTCCAAGGTGTAACAGCTGCAGACTATGGCAATCTGCTTTTATA